TTAAAGACACAATAGCTGATCACACTTTTTAAAAGGAAACTGTTTTTCAGAGCTTTTCAAAATTGAGAAAGTTAATATTAAGAAAATACTAGTTCTCTAACTCACGAATGTCGTATTGGCATGTTTCTTACCACACACATGTAATTTATAGCGAATTTTCCTTTACACTCTCCGCTTCTCAAAAAATCACGTCATGGCGACAGGTGTCACCGGAAGTGATCTCAATTTACTTTGAATAGTTTCAGGTGCATCGTAAAAGGGACAATGGAAACTAGAAAGGAGCCTAAGTCGGTTGGAAAGAAACAGAATGGTGCGTATATGATAAGATAAGGTACTATGCTGTGTAACTTTTTTTCTGTTAATTTTTGGGGGAATGAATTATGTCTGTCTGGAAAAATTCACGACTTGAAACACTGTATATAAAAGATGTTTGGTTCATGGTAACAATAGAAACCTCCCCAAAGACACTTCCTTAGCAAACAGTCAATTTTTCGATTTTGTAGGACAAAGAGACACTTATCTTTAAAGAAATTGAAATCTCGGCTACAATAGGTCTGTCCCTAAAATATCAAACTGCTCCAATTAAAGTAACTTCTCAGGTACAGGCGAAAGCTCAGTCCTAGTTATTAGGTATCAATCAGGCAAGGTCTAAAGCTAACTTCCACTTGATAAAATATCTCTTCTGAATTCTCATATTAAAATATTTCAGTTGCATGCATTTTAAATATCATATACAGGGTTATTTCCAATGGCAAATATGATTTTAATTTTGCAATTTTCTACCAAATGTTTTCAGGTTTTTGAGACACACATGCTTTTGTTCAACAGAATTTGTAAAAATGTAGTACAAACATATTTAATATGTACCTAGATAAATGTTCTAGTTGAAATAGTTTTTTTAAATTTTCAATCAGGATCAGCTGATGACAAGAGAAAGGTAAGACCAAGGAGAATTCCAGACGAACAAGTTGGCCGTCAAAGATAGGAAACGTAAAGGTTGGCGCCGGCGATACCGCGGGCTCAACAAATCCAGAGCTTAAGGCTGCGAGGCATGCAAAGATAGATGGAGATAAAGGGGAATCTGAAACTGGGTCTGGTGATCAGAAAAGCGGACAAAGAAAGTCAGATATAAAGTATGTATATCGAGTCCTTCGGCCAGGCGAAAGATATGAGAATGGACTGTATCCCAAGAATATACACTCGAGTATAACTATCCAACAACACGTGGAAATTAAATGGGAAGCAAATGCCGAGAATCGAGATACATTTCTTGTTGCAGAAGGCTTTGTGCCATAAAGAGGCTGGGAAAGTTTACTAATAAGCCAAATCTAGTAAGGGATGTAGTAAGGATAATCATTAGCAGACTGAAAACCAACGCCCGAGTGATAGATCTAACTAAAGTGGAAATACGCGAACGTCACATCGAGCGCTCGTCAGTGGCCTGGGGATACGCTGAAAGATTCGAGGAAGTCATCTTAGAGCCAACATCTCATGTACCTCCAGAATGTTTAAAGAAAATTGGGGAAATTCATAACAGAATTTTTAGAAAAATATAAACTGTGATCCTGAAAATGCTTCACTTCCAAAGGATGGTTAAACACAAAGTTCTATCTTATCCATCTTGGGTACTTTTTATCATCTGTAGTCTGTAAGATTGTTCCACTTTACAAAGAAATATTTTTGAAGTTTTCTTTTTTTGAAACAATGAAGAAAAAAAGGAAATTTAAAGATGACCAATTGAGAGAGAGAGAGAGAGAGAGAGAGAGAGAGAGAGAGAGAGAGAGAGATATTTCAATTCCTTCGTGACAACAAGTTATTATGTAGGAATTTCTATTGCAGTTCTGACTGTATAGTTGAAATATTTTTTTTATTTTTTTTTAGCGCATATCATTTCAGTTCAAAGTAAATAAATGTATTTTTAATGGCAGCAAAAGGAGGAGGATATCTTTATTATTTTCATATGTATTTGTTATTATATATTATGAATTTATAATTACTATATATTTATACATGAAATATATGTATAAAATATTCGATCATATGTACACACGTTATGTATATGTAAGAATGTTATATAGAATGCAAAATTCATTAAAATAAAATATATTAAATAGTACTTTTATACTAATTCGTTATCATAAAATGCTTAGGAAATACATGTTTGTTTTTTGTTGTTGTTATATTTGAATATGTAGTTCAAACAAATTTACAGAATGCCCCCCTGCTTTTAATGTAACTATTTAGTGTATGAAATGTGATTTAATATAAAACATATTGTGTCAAATATGTACACCGTATAATACGTCATTCCATATTTATGAACAAAATTAAAATCTTCGAAAATTAGATCAAGCATGAGGGTCGAGGTCAAGGGGTAAAAAACTATAGCATGATAATAATCATCATCTTACATGATAGTACATGTCTAATATGAAAGTCCTATCCTGAAGTTATAAGGAAAGAAATATGCATGTATAATTTGAAAGCCCTATCTGTTCTTGTTCAAATTTATGACCAAGGTTAAAGTTTCTGAAAAAGTGTACCAACCTTCAAGGACTATGATAGATACCAAAAATCATGGTATACATGTATTTAGAAAAGTCTTATGACAGGTAATACACATGTTCAATAAGAAATATTAATTTTTAGTCTGTGATGTTTTCTATTTAAAAGAGAATAGGCAGTTTTAATTTTGTTCTTTTCTTTTTGTTTTGCTTATCAGCTTTATAATAATTTATTTATTACTTTACATTACTTTACTTTATTTTTTCCGAGCCTCTCCCCTCCCTTTTGATTAATGATTTTCATGTTCATGTTTTTCAAAAAATAAATTGCCATAATATCGGGCTCGACCTTTCAAAAATTGTGAACTTTCATTTCGAGTTTTCTCAGGTTTTGATAGAAAACACATGGCTAGCATATTCAGACCGAATTATGACCAAAATATTGTTAACAATTATCATATTCAGTCTTGATGCTGTGTGACAAAGACTCCATTGAATCTATTCAGCAGTACATCATCAAGCTGACGGAATTTCTCTCTCTGTATACATGGATTGTTGACGCCTATGTATCGGTAAAACTGCTTTAAATTTTTATGCTTACAATTTGTTGAAAACTCGATAAAGACAATAAGACATGCATATTTTAAATTTTGACGTGTTTGTTTAAAAGATGGTTTTCAACATTTTTGTTCCCTATCATATATTTAAAATAAAAAAGAAAAGAAATAAAAGAGACGAAGTTACTTAATGTTACGAGTTGAGAAACATTTTTTTTTTAGTCTGTCCCACCAAGTTACTGTAAGCACTTTTCGCATAATATCTCAAAATATAATATGTTTTACGGTGTGACCGTTGGGGCGAGCGCAGTAACACTTGAAAAATTGATCAGCCACTTCAAACATCAAGCCGCGCGATACATCTCGGCTACCTGTGACGTCACACGACGTCACGGAGCTCGTCGGAGCTTACGGAGACAGCCGAGCGTCTGTTTGAAATCATAAATCTAGTGCATCATTTGGGTAAAAAAAAATTGCAGAGTTATTTTTTGCTTCTTTGAAAGGTTTTTACATACTGAAAGCCGTTTAAGCTTTACGTTATTATTTATTTATTTATTTGCGCAAAGGACATTGGGTAGTGTGATGTTATATGAGTTATTGGACTTATCCGGAATTGGTCAGGTCGACCGTTATGTGTTATGCTTATGTATGTAATAAAGATCATTCTAGAAAGCACATGGCGACTTAGTAGTCGTGTGTTGTTTGTCTCAGTAAAAAGACAATCGCAGAGGCCATAACAGGTAGTGCAGGAATTCTGGGAATGTTGCACAGAGAAATTTGGCTGACGTATGTACAGATTTCAATCCGAGTTTCCTCTGTTCTTACACGTTAGTCTATTGAGCTCGCTTTGTGAGCGTCGCTTCGCGACGCTCGCTGCGCTCGCTATAAATTTCTTGGCTTTAATAAGTGATAACTAACTTGATTCTGACATATCACTTCTTCGCTCTTATTTAACACATGCAGTTCTGTTATCAGTGTGTTTTGTTTATTTTCATTGTATATTTTAGGATTACTTCACCAAGCATCACTGGGATAACCTCCCCTCAGTGTGGACAGAGTCCCTTCTTAACACAGAACCTACAGAACTGGTGTGGCTGTTAACAGAGGAAAGGTCAGTGTCTCATACATATTTGTGTAACAGGCGGGGAAAAATGTCGGCCAGACTGAGACTCCATCCCAGGACCTTCCGCTAACCGGCAGGTGTTTTAACCACTGAGATAGCTTGCCAATATACCTGTACCCAATCCCCGTTACACATGTAACAGTGCATATCATTCATTAATGACAGAGTCCCTCTAGTATGTGTAACAAGAAAATGGAAATTAAACAAGTTAAGGCTTGAAATGATTAATTCCTATTTCATGTTTCAGTCAGGTATCCAGGGTGTGGCCTCTCTCACTTCTTGCCTTCAGACAGTGCACACGTACTTACTCACTAGCAAGGTCACAACAAGAGGTCAAAGTACAGGACCTGTCAAAACTTTCCTCACAAAGATATGTACAGGGTGAGACTAAAATCTTTTCAATCAAAAATAATACTTCATAAATTATTATAATTAAAATTAAAAATAAAATCCATCTAATTCATAACTTTTAAAAAAAAAATTATTCCAGTAGTTTTATTTTCAAAGTGACCATTTTCCTCTGATATCAAAAATGTGTATTGCAGTAAAAATCAGTCTGTGTTGTGTTATTTTTATTCAGATCAGGAAACCAGCTCAGTTGCTCAACGAGTCTCAAATCCAGACACAAAATACTATGAGTATCTCAGAAAGCATGTAAAACCAAAGAAACTTCATGAAATCAAAAGTCTTGGAAAGGTAAACTATTGTCTTATAATTAGACTTTGCTTCAACAATTCAATTATGCAGATTGTGATTCAATATTGTGGTATCATGTAATACTAATGCATTTATCTTCTAATTTCAAAAGCAAGAATTACATATGGGATATTATTTCACTTTGCAAATATTTTACATACATTAAAATTCACTTATTCTTATGTATCATTATTCACAAAATCAAGACAAGATTCGGAATTACGCAACCTACAGATTAGACAAGTTTCACTCTATTATGACGATTTTACCCTTACTTTGGACTTTTAGTAGGGTGTGACTTTCTTGGGGCTACGTAATGACGAATAATAGTAGATTCTCATTGGTTACGAAATTAATACCATCAGGAACTTAAAATTGTGGTTGACAATGATGAGACAACTTATGCCCCACCTCTGTGCCGTGATAGAACTTTTAATCGGCTATTTACTACACCAGTTGACATTCGCCAGCAATTCTTTCATATGCATATTTCAACAGTGAAGGGAAGGTGTGTAAATTTCAGAAGCTAATTAGGCAACCTCGAGAATGCCATGCCGTATTGAAAGTAAAAAATAAGCGAGTAATTCTTCTAAAATTAGGTTCTTCAGATCAGGATATTAAATTCTTTATTGACTTTTATAAATTAAACAGAGACATCACAAGCACTAAAAGTGCAATGATAAATCGTTTCACGGTCTGTGGTTTATTGTTTCATCAAAGGTCGTACGCCTAGTCGTAGCGCTACGCCGGTGTAAAGTCGGGACTAGCGCAAAGAGTTGCGCTTCATTACAGAGCGTATCGTTACGCCTGACTAAATTTAGGCCAGAATTTTACGTCTACTCATGGGTAGGCGTAAGTTCGGGCGTATAGTTTAAATCAAGCAATTTTATTTATTTTAAAACAAGTTTGCGAGTTCTAAAGAAAAAGTGCAGTTCTAAGAAGTCTTTTGAATAAAAACAATGCATTATATAATTATACGTATACTATGAAGAGGGGGGGGGGGGGGCTGCTACAAGCACTTGGGGACATGGTTGATTGGAGTAATACCATGTTTAATATTTTAATAATTCTTTTCTGAGAAGATAAGATTGTCTTATTAGAAATTTCTTCGACCACCATTTCTTACATATTGACAATGCATTCATACCCATTTGATTATTGTATTGTATGGTATGTAAACAAATAAATACCGGTAGATGGAACTCTTAAGTTGAAAGAGAATTTATTGTCTAAAGTTGTCCGAAGCAAGGTATGTGTCCGATGCATGGTGAATTCACCCTATAAGTTATTGTAAATCGACTATACATATACATTGTATTACTATATTTATATACACCCGCTTGAAAAGTGGGAGGGTATCTAGTAATTGGGATGTCCGTCCGTCCGTCTGTTACGCTTTGGGGTACCCATCTCTTATCCGCATCTCCTCTCATACTTTTGAATGAAATTTGATGAGACTTTCACAGAATCATTATACATATTGTCATTGTGCCTTATTTTACTTTTAGATCCGACACATATTTTGGGTTTCCCATAGCAAAACATGGACCTTGCCGTTATATTCATATAGGAGGCGGGGTTTATCATTTTTGTGAGGTCTTTGCTCACAGTACCTCTAGTTATATATTCTGTTTCATTCACTAAAAAGCGACCCATTAAAATTGTCTATTTTGAAAGAAAAATTCCCAAAAATATATTTGAACAAAAAATTGGTTTCAAAAGCACAGTACTCCTCTTTCTGGTTATTTTCAACATTTAAGAAAAAAATTACTTTTCTTGAAACCAAATAGATTTTTTTATCATGTTTGAAGAGTCAATTTCTTATTTACTTCTCGTCCACTTGCGTGAATCTAGAGGGATTCGTAGAGAGGGTCTAAAACCTCCCGAATTTGCAAATTAATGAACGTTAAATGTACAGGGTTTGGGTAAAGTAACTATTTGTTCTAGATATCTGGGACAAGTGAAGTCCCCAGCGAATTAAAGACGGAACCCGGGGAGGGGGGTCTCATAGACAATAAAAGATTTTAAATGGGGAAAATATTAAATTTATTACTTTTATTATATCGATGTAAGACGGTGATATTTATACGCATTAAGTTCAAGATATGAATTATTCCTAAAAATATTTTTTTTTCTCAGACAAACATTGATGCAGTTCTAAGACATCTTTATTTTTCATGAATTCATCCAAAAGAGTCAATCTTATATAGTATTAGATAATCTGAGCGCATATATAGCATATTTAAGATGATAACGCGAAGATACATGTTCTTGATTTCCCGCATAATTTATTTTTTTTTATGAAAAACAAAATAAAGAGTAACTGTAACTTTATTTTAAAGACAGGAAACACACAAGCAGCGAATTTCTTTAAGAATATCATTGTATTAATTTCTCTCTCTCTCTCTCTCTCTCTCTCTCTCTCTCTCTCTCTCTCTCTCTCTCTCTCTCTCTCTCTCTCTCTCTCTCTCCTCTCTCTCCGTACTTGTAAAACGGTGGATTAAATTCAAGCTGCAGATAGTAATTTTTTTCTATGACAGCATGTACCTAGAGTCTAGTATTTCTGAATTATTTTATGAACCTAAATTTGTGCAATTTATATAAACAATATTAAAGTAAATCATTTGATTGAATTGACAAAAGTTTAAAAGACTTAGAGAGGATTGTTTTACATGTACCTTTAGTAAGTAGTTAACATGTAAAAATTATTTCTTGATTCAAAATATACACATATGTAAATCGTTGCATTTTAATACATTATTTTTACTTGCAAGTATACATTTCTTATGAAAATAAAGTTTTAAAATCTTATTCTGTCTCAAACTCAATTATTAGTATTTATCAGTAGAATCAGTTTTTATCGAAACATGAAATTGATTATCAAAGGCGAAGTCATTAACCTGTATCAATTTCGGGAAGAGAGGGGGAGGCTGTATTAGGGACCAGGCAAATTTTATCACAATGATGGGACCAGTACAAAACAAAATTATGATTTTAGAAAAGTAAGTGTTCCATGGCATTCTTTTTTTTTTCAAATATCGATGAAAGGTTTTTTATGTGTTCATTTTCATACTTTGTAATATTTTCCTTTAAATTGAAGAATTATCTTGCCATTTGCATCTCTAATTTGAGTTTCAAAGATAAGACTTTTTTCGAAACAAAAATTAAACATAATGAATATTTCTTTTGGGTAAAGTACTGTAATTCATTGAAAAGAAAAGTGTCCCATGTGTACTTAATGCTAAAAATGTTTCTGTCCCATGATTTTCTTCGATTGAAAAAACTCATTGTTCCATGCCTGTTTGTATCGGTCTGATCACTGTGATAAATTTTGCCTGGTCCTTAATTAAAATTCCAAAATAAAAAGTTTAGCTTAATTCTGAAATACATGTACGGTCCTTTTCTTCCTTTCAATTTGTACATGTAAGACTTTTATTATTTAAATGTTGAAAAAAAAAACCAACAAAACAAAAAAAAATATTTATTACAAGATACATGTCTCCTACATGACCCTATAAATCTACGCTTGTTTCAATCAGTGTAAGTATTAAATTTAATATCTATAGGTTGTGTTATACATGTATTGTACTTTGACGTGCTACAATTTATACATGTTTACAGAACGCACTGGAGAATGTTTATGTTTTGAAGCCTGCGCAATGCAACGTTGTCAAGGACTTAGTCCTGCGACTAAGCGTATCGTTTACGACTAGACTTAGGCCACTTGGTGAAACGCAAATTACGCCCGACTAAATTTTGGCGTAAGTCCCGGAAATACGCCTAAGCTAAGGCTTAAATCTACGACCTTTGATGAAACGAAGTGCTTGAGTATTCTTAAAACGAAATTTTGTTCCCCATAAATATTGTCCAGATGGTGAGGCCTCTGAGCTAATGAGGTGGTCGGGGATCCTTACTCCTCCTTGTCACCTGATCCTACCTTAAATTCTGAGATCCATTAACAATCACTTTCATATTGTAAATTGTGGCCTAGTATTTAAAGTATAGTCATATATACAGGTTTGTTGTGCAAACTGCTTTCACTATTTAATACCAGTCTTTTATTCTGTTTTCTAACGTTTCATATAAATTATAGGCGATTCTTCATTTATCTTGATTTCTTTTTATGCGCCCGATGAAAGATCTGAGGCGTATATTGTTTTTGTCCTGTCTCTCTGTCTGTTTGTCTGCAAACTTAAACCTTCGCCATAACTTTTGAACCATGAATGGTTGAGACTTCATATTTGGTATGCCTAGTCCACCAATAAAGCTCTTTCAAATGACACCAAGGTCTATGACCTTGTGACATTGACTTGTGACCTATATGCTAAAAATAGGGATTTTTTGCAAACTTTAACCTTTGTCATAACTTTTGAACCATAAAAGATAGAGACTTCATATTTGGTATACATACAACACTTATTCAGCTTTTTCAAAAGACACCATAGACAATGACCTTGTGACCTTGACTGTGACCTAAACGCTAAATATAGCTTTTTTGACGGCAAACTTTAACCTTTGCCATAACTTTTGAACGAAGAAAGACAGAGACTTTGTATTTGGCATGCATACTTCACTAATGAAGCCCTTTCACACGACACCAATGTCAATGACCTTGTGACCTTGACTGTGTCTTATATGCTAAAAAAGGCTTTTTTGAACCTTCACCATAACTTTTGAACCATGAATAATAGAGACTTCATATTTGGTATGCATACTTCACTAATCAAGATCTTTCAAATGACACCAAGATAAATGACCTTGTGACCTTGACTGTGACCTTTATGCTAAAAATATGTTTTTTTAAATTTGTTGCCGCCAGGCGCATAGTGTTTCACAAACACATCTTGTTTTTCTGTTAAGAATTTTAATGATTGTCTAATTTTTTCATGATAGTGAAGTCTTTATTATATTATAATAAATAAAGTAATTATTACTTTATTTTTCCCTAGAGATGCTCACAGACAGATCTCAAAGGTAAGCACTTTTTTTTTTGTCTGATTTCAGAAGTTTCATACATCCAACATGTCCAAATACAGGTAAACTTCGGTATCTCGACATGGATATGTCGACAACCTGGGATATGTCGACGTCTGTGCATGGCCCCGGCATTATTTACTATATAAATGATTTGCAATGATTTACTGTATATTGACTCAAAGTTTGGCTTTTCTGATCTACCTCTTTGATTATACCATGTAAAGCATGGCTTAAAAAAAAGATTAATTAATTTTATTAAACTTTTCCTGTACTCACACTTGTTTAATGGGAAACACTCTTTTCTCCTAAAATTCCCTGTGATGTGGATATAAGCAAACCATTGCAATCTGAAAGTCAAATCTGAAAGTGTATAAGATTTGCTTTCTATTCATCATGCTTTCATCAGGTGTATCATATTTGTTATATGTGCCTCTATTTGAGACTATTAAAAATTGGTTATTATTCTTATTTATCTATTATACCTTATATGTGTCAAAAAATTTGAATCGTAATTGGTTATGCAGGGTAAAGGTCACACTGAGACTGAAAGTGAGACTGATCTTCCTTGTCATGTGACCTGTTACATCACAGCAGACACAACACAGGGGAAGTTCCTAGACATTATACAGGAGTCCTTCAACAGGTCTAAGGTTGGCAGCTATTGTAAAGCGGAAGGTGACGAAGGGTTTACAAGAGAGACTACACAACATGGACTTACTAGTGGTTCAAAGATAGACGTGATACAATCTGCATCATTAGATGACCAAAAACATTTTAAAAGTTGTGGTAGGGAATCTAATAAAAAACCCAAACTGACAAGCACTGATATTAAATGTGATAATCAAGAGAAAGATTTGACTTCTCCTGAAAGTGTTCAGAGTAAAAGTAATTCTTGTGGGCATATTCCAAGCAGCAGTCAATTGTTTTTTTCAAACAATTTCTGTGATAACTGTAAAAAATATTCATCTTCTAAAGAGATTAGCATATGTGATAGTGATATAAAGACACAAATGGAGACTGGAGAAAATTCTGGATTTATGTGTGATAGTAAATCTGCTGAATGCACTGATAGCCTAGACATGCCAGGATCAGATGATCAGATATACCAGACTGAGGAAGGTGATTCTTTAAATGGAGAACTCCATGGGAAGACCCCTCCAGCTAGACAGCAGTTTCTCCTGACTGGACTGCATGCCTGCGGAGATCTAACTCCCACAATGCTCAGAGTGTTCACTTCCTGTCCAGACATAGTGGGACTGGCGTCTGTCGGCTGCTGTTATATGAAATTGTCTACTTCACTGTAAGTAATGGTAATGTGTTAAGATTTCATTCCTACATTTCTTTAATTTTTGATTGGAGTAATATGATTTGGAGCTTATATATTTTTTTTAGTGGAGAGAAGAATCAGTGAAAATTGATGAAGTTAAAAGTTTGAATACCCTGTTACATGTACAAGTGAATTATATTCACATTAAACGATTACAAAAGTGTTTTTTTTTTAAATATTTACTTTGTAAACGAAGTTATTTGAATTGATTTTTTCTGACTTTGCTTTTTAGGAACAGTAAATCAGACCATGTGGGGTACCCCATGAGTGATTTTGTAACCAGGTTACCACACTCGGTTCTTAGTTATGAAGCCCGAGAGATGGCCTGTCATTTTGCAGATTCCTACATCCAAAGATTGAAAGGTAAATTGACAAAATTCAAGTACACTGTATGTGCAGCACTGTTAAGGCCTACTATGAGAAATCAACAGAAAATAGATGAGAAAAAAAGGGGTTTTTTTAAAAATGAATTTATTTTAATTAAGCTGTTTTATTATCACAGAACTTAAATACTT